CTACCACTGAGTCCGAGTATGTTGCAGCCACAGAAGCGTTTAAGGAAGCCATCTGGCTCAAACGCCTTGTCTCCGAAATTGGGTTTCTCAAAAAGGGAGTTACCATTTTCTCGGATAGCCAATCGGCTATCCAACTTTGCAAAAATCCTGTATTTCATGATAGAACTAAGCATATTGATGTTAGGTTCCATTTCATACGTGATATTGTTGATGCAGGTGGAGTCAAGCTGTGCAAGATCCCGTCGGAGTTTAACCCCGCGGATATGGGTACCAAGTGTCTTTCTGCTGAGAAGCACTTGTCCTGTAAACGCGTGTTAAATTTTGACTGTGGATAACTGTGGGTTGCCTAATAAAGTGTTTGCCCGTTGTGTCTTTTGATATTCCGGGTGACCCGGTGATGATGAGTCTCCTCACAACCTGTTTTGCTACTCTACACCACTTAGGACCAATAAGGTGGAGAATGTTGGAGGTATTGGTCCTACCAAGGCCTCCCTTCCACTTTATTATTTAGGCTTGCACCCCATGTTTACTCCCACTTTGATTCCCAGAGTTGAAATCACTTATTATGGCCTGTTTGACTTATCTGGAGTATGCCCCATTGTTTTTTGTCCGCTGCTGCCTTGCTTATACCCGTGAGCCTTTGTTGTCTTGGCCACACCCGTGAGTGTCCTGTTGTTTACCCGTGACTTGTCAAATTGGCAGCCTGCCTAGTATAAAGTCTGCTCCTTTCCTTCTTTGTGAGATAAGCCTGCAAGATATCAGCAGAGTCTTCCTTCTTCCTTTCTTTGTGTGAGAGTTCCTTTGTGGAGTGAAGAAGAGTGAGTAAACATGGGAGATGTTGTGGCCTAGCCCTAGAGTGGTGTGTGAGTTTAGTTTAGAAGGTTGGAGACCTGAGCCGGAGACGGAAACGGTCCTTACAGAATCAAATACTCCATCGGTCCCAATAACAATGAGATAAGAGAGAGTGACACGTAAATGAATAAAAAGTGGTTTATGTGATATTGATATTGAATTCATACGTTTTGGGCTTCTCTTTGATAGTATGGATTATTTTTTTTATTTTGCCTTACTAATTAAAAGTGAAAATATAGTGAGGCAGGTGTGCAGGACTATCGCAAAAAAAATGTGGCAGGAACGATGTACACCTAACAATACCAAACATATTTTATGCAAAACGTATGTCAACAGTTATTGTACATTTTATTTTATATCTTTGCAAAACTTTAGTAAGTTGTATGCTTCACTTTCGAACATAATGTACAACGAATTAAAGTATATGAAGAATGACATTTCGACATGACCCAAAAGATAAATTGAAAGAATATAAATTGAACTTTAATCACAAGTTTGCAGATTAAGTGAGTTCTGATCCAGATACTTGCGCAGACCCAATGCAATTCTGCATAATAACCTCTCATTATACTTGTTTGAATTTGAATCCGAGACTTACCCACACGATACTTCATATCTACCAGTTGAGTTACGCTCACCGACACGAATTAGAGTATATGTATTTTGAAAATTTCACCCGTGTACACACCCAAATTGCATATGTGATAACATGAATTGATTTTTGAGTCAGATTATATGTGATACCGACAAAATTTGAAAACAATTATCGATATTATAAACAAGTTTTCGTCAGTACCGCATGTAAGAGGGCACTTCATATCACGAGCTTCTGACCGGAACCAGCGTGTGGATTCACTGTATGGGGTAGTTTTCGATGAATTTTTTGATGATTTTTTTTTTAAATGTTTTTGATAACGTTTAGATTATGTCCAAAATACATCTTAAAATTCAATCGTAAGACATTTGAACACAATTAAAGGTGGTGCGATTATTGCGATAGGGAGTAAAAAAAAAGTACCCGATTAGTATCATAATGACTGTCATCATAATCGTCCTCGGAAGAGTAATCTGCCAGCTGTGCAGCACTCAGCGACTCGAAACGCTGCGCAGAGAAAATGGCGGCCGACTTGGCCGGCGCCATTTCCGGCTGCTGATATCCGTGGCTAGTGCCGGCGCCGGTGGAATACTTGGGATAGTGAGCACGCCGGCCGGGAGGACATCCAAACTTCGTAGTGCTGCTTAGTAGAGATGGAAGAGCAACGACGATGCTTCTTTTTGATCTTGAACACCAATTTGCCATTTCAACTTAAGGCACTTAGATTTTATTTTATTTTTAGTGTGCCCGCAGTACGTATATTTTTCATTTCATGGTTTGATTTATAGACTAGCTAGGTAGTCGTTAACTGTCATATAATCATATACTCCGTATATGCTCATATATACTCCCTCCGTCCCATTAGAATGGTTCCGTTCACTATTCATTGGTCAACTTAGGTCATTCCTAATCTTTTACTTTATATATCAAATTTTTATCAAATTGAACTTTTCTTGATCAGGCTTTGTAGCGGTTTTAATATAGTTTCTGAATATGTAAATTTTATTTACTAAAAATAAGCAGAGTGTGAACAGGGATCGAGTTGCTTTATTGTCACTCAAGCATCGTAAACCGAACGGGAACATTCCAACGGGACGGAGGTAGTATATATATTGAAGATTCTTATTGGACACAAAATTTGTACTAGGGTATATTTTTTGTAGACAATCCGGTAAAATTTGTGGTTCCATTCTAAAAGATCAATCTGATAGGAGGAGTAACACAGATCTTAATATAGTATTTAATTCTTTTAGAGATATCCGGTGTGGGACTTTAACACAATCTGTGTACACAAATAATTGTACACAATTTCAGATTTTTTTAAACAAACTACTTGTGTAACAAGCAACTAAGCGTGTGTGTACAAAAAAAGTACAAAATTTTGTGTATAAACATAATTTTCCTATATACTTACATAACAAATTGCTCCTCGTACGTAGTACTATCTCCGTCTCATACTCTCATACGGGTTCTCTTGTTTTAGTTTAAGTTAAAATTATGGCTGAGATTTTGAATAGAATAAAATGAATGAAATGATATGGATCATATATTATTTGTTGCTAAAAAATAACAAAAAAAACCATTTTAGAACAACCTGAAAAGGAAAATAATAAAATCAAGGGAAAATGGAAATTAATAATCCAACCTTTTAGCGGTCTTCTTTTAATAGTCCGACCTTTTCGTTATTCATGAATAATCCAACCTTTGCACCTCATCTTCATTTATTGGTCTCCGACCGGTTGATGACCTGCTATTCCGAGTTATTTTCTTATCTCTGCAAACTATGATACCATAAATTCCACCTTTCACAAAGATAATATTTTGCAATGATAAGAAAATAACTTGGAATAACAGGTCATCAACTGGTCAGGGACCAGTGAATGAAGATGAGGTGCAAAGGTTGGATTATTCATGAATAACGAAAAGGTGGGACTATTAAAAGAAGACCGCTAAAAGGTTGGATTATTAGTTTCCATTTTCCCTAAAATCAATGAAGGAAGTATTATTTTTTAGTAACAAAATAGTACTCAGCTCCTAGTAGTTAATTAGGTCACGTACAATGGCGTTTCCACGAGTTGGACAAAAATATTGGAACATGTTATCCACGCCCTTGCAGAGTAGAGATTTTTCCTTTTTTCTAAATTGTGAAGTAAGAGTACTATGCATTTATAATTTTATATTAAATCACCCTCAACTTATTAACACTGACACTCTCAGTGTATCTTTTATCTCTTTTTCTGATGATCTTGGAATAAGCAGGGATACTCCTATTTATTGGGAAATGGTGGGAGACATGTGCATGTAGTAGTCCATGCCTCTAGTCTTTTAATGGGTGAGGATGGAACACAAGTGGGTGATGGTGAGTATGGGAGCAGCAAAAATCCCACAAAGAAGAAGGCTGGAAATTAAAAAAAAACAAATTAAAACATGAAATTCATTGAAATATTATTGCACGAGATCTTAACTTAGGGGTTGTTTACTTTCGAGTTAATGATCTGAATGGAAACAATGACTTATTCAGTCAGCCATATGCTCTTGTTTAGAACAGAGACACATGCACAGAGCATTGAGCGCTAAAAACATCAAAATATGTCGAATTGATCAAATGGTGGGATGTATGCACAGAAATACTCCATCCGTATCATATTAGTTGCAACATTAGAATTTACACAGTATTCATGTACTCTACTTTGACTACATTTTATTTATTAATGTATGTGAATTGTTTTTTTTGAAATATATTGTTGAATTCGTCTCATTACAAAGTTTCATAATTTGTTTTTTATTTTTTTACTAATGGAGAATTAAATATAATGCCGGTCAAAGTTGTGTATTAGCAAGCGAGAAAAAAAGAATGTTGCAATTCAAAGAGAATGGAGGATAGTATCTATTTCTCGAATAAAACACTAGGGGATCTTCATAGAACATTAAATGCGTGTAGACGTGCAGGAGTACTGAGGTGCACTTAATTAGAGAAAAAATTGATCACAAAAATCTCACCTAAATGTTCCATCTTCTTTCACTAGTTTCGGTGATAACATGTGTTTTATTGCTTTTTCTTTGAAAAACATTTTAAAAAAAAACAATTTCTTCCTCTGAAGATTTACCTTTTGGAGTAAAACATGATTTTTTTTCTCAGAATAGGAGCACTTGATGTATACATCCTTAAATAAGTTTTTATTTGTGATTGGACCAAAATACCTCTCACAGCCTTTACCATTGATGCACCAGGACTGTCGAAACCCGCCTGCGCCGGACCTTGGCCACCGCTGGAAAATTCCAGACTTTTTTTGTGGCAGCCTGCCAGTTTTTATTTGTGATTGGACCAAAATACCCCTCACAACACTTTTTGTCTTACTTTTATCCATTTTTATGTAGTAATTGCCCCTTATAGGACTGAAAGAGGGGAGAAATTCTTAAATAGGACCATGTATGTTTCCCCCCCAAATAGGACTATTTTACTCCATTTTTTAAAACATACGTATATTTCATTCCATTATTACCCTCTTCTCCATTTTACGCACATCTACCCCTGCGCACAACCTCTTCCCCCCTTCTCTCCTACGCAGATCCTTCTCCTTCTTCCTTGCACATCATCAATCGACTTCACCCAGGCCATCGCCGCCGCCGTCAACTTCGCCCTGCACACCAGATCTACCGAGTTCTCTCTCACGCCGTTGATTTCGCTGCTGTTAAGGTTCTTCTTCCTCTTCCTCTTCCTCTTCTCTTCCTCTTCCACTTCCGCTTCTTCTTCCTCTTCTTCAATTTTCCTCCATTTTTCTGGATTTTGAATTGAATTTTGCAATTTTCGGACTTCATTTTTGATTTTTTGGTTTCTAGTTTCTGAGTTTTGAAACAAATTCTGATTTTCAACATTTTGGATGATTGTTTCGGATTTGACCAAGTTTATGGCAGAAATGTGTACATTAACATCATATTATGGCAGAAATGCTTTTGTTTAAATTGGTTTTTCTGATTTTTGTCAATAACTTCATTTTTCTATTTCCGATTGTGCTAAGAAAATTATTCCATTAAAAAATTTAGTTGTTTGAATATTTGGTTATGTATTTCATGTTTTCACTTTTTGCCAAATTTATGGCAGTTTTGTATTAACATTCCAACATGAATCTGCCAACTCTTTGGCAGATCTGAAACTTTTGTGATATGGCAGATGTGGATATACTCTCCAACTCTAAATCTGCCAACATAATGGCATATTTATTCCGCATGAGTTGTTACAATGGTTGTGGTGCTCAGGCCTCGGGGGATGGCAGCGGCGGTGGATGGCGACACCGGTCAGATGGCGATGGCATGGATGGTGACGCCGGTGTGGGAAGTGGCGGTGGCAAGGGGCGGCGATGGGTGGCAATGATGCGCCAGCAAGGATGCGGCCGCAGGCGGCGAGGGCGGCGAGGGCGGCAAGAGGCGGCGCATTTGCCGGCGAGGGCGGCGACAGGCGGCGCCGTCTCCGGAGAGGGTGGAGGCAGGATGTGCCGGCGGCTGGTTTGGCTCTTGCTTCACGAGAGTTACTTCTAGGGTTTCAGAACTTTTACATTTTAATTTTAAAATTTAAAATATTAAAAGAGGGGTATTTTTGTCCAACTATTCTGAAAGTGGTCCTATGAGACTTGTGTTTCGTTTATAGTCCTAAAAGAGCAATTAACTTTTCTATTAGTCCTATTTGAGGCATTAACTCTTTTTTATGCAAGAAAAGTTTTTATTTTGTAGAATTTCCCTCATAGCCCCCATTTTTCCCTTTTCTTCACAGCCCCCGTTTTTACCCTATTCTTCTTTTTATGTACTATTGTTCAGTTAAATTCTCTTTTTATAAATTGTTTTTTCGTCCATGTCCATTACGTAGTACGTAATACTACATCTGCTCTTAAATAAATGCAACATATGAAATTTTACATTATTCACATGTTCTACTTTGACTACGTTTTATTGATTTATGTATTAATATTATTTTTTGAAAAAAAATATTATCAAATTTGTCTCATTGTAAATTTTCAAAATCTAATGTTTTTAATTTTTTTACTAATACAAAATTATATATATTAATTGTCAAAGTTGTGTATGGGCAAGAGTGAAATGTTGACCGTTGCATTTATTTAAGAACAGAGGAAGTATTATTTTCTTTATTTTTATTTCATTTTTCATTTCTATTATCTTCCTTTTCTTTTCTTTTCTTTTCTTTTCTTTTTTCCCTTTCCCTCAAATTCGAGGTCATTGTTTTCCTTTCTGCCTTGTTATATCTTTCTTCTTTTTCATTCTCTTTTCGGCTAATCCCCTCACACCTAGGAACGGATCTGGGCCGATTAGATCCCATTTACGGTCCAGAGTCGGCCTGTCCGTGTAGAAAATTATCAGAGCCCGGGACCAGCCCGCCGAAATCCGGTTCCAGCCCCCCCCCCCTAAAATCATTTACTATCTCCGTTCCGCTTGAAGGTTCCCATAGCAAAACGGCACGGTTGTTTAGGTGATAATTAAATAAAGTACTTCGGGTATATTTTGAGAAATAATTTTACTAGGTATATATTATAATGTGTTAGTATTGATAACTGTGATGTTATAAATGTATCATTTGTAATGTTTAATGACTAATTCGTCACTTAAGATTTTTTAATTGTTTCCTAAAATGGAAATGAGAACCTTCTAACGGGACGTCCAAAAAAGGAAAGTGTGAACCTTCTAACGGGACGGAGGGAGTATTAATAATTGTGTTGAAGTGTAAAAAAATTACGTAGTATTTGAGTGCATAGCATTTGAATAATTAACACCTTTATAAATTATTGTTCGATGTTTACCATCTCAAAGATGTTTCCGTAAACGGAAAATTTCAAACTATTGCAATTTTAAAATATAGAAATTATTCCAAATAAGACTAAAATTATGGCGAAAATTCAAAATAGGATTTGCTATGATTTTATTGCAAAGTAAGACCATATTAGTCCTATGGGAAACATACCTATTTCTTCATTCCATTCTTACCCCTCCTTTAAATATGAGTAAAAAATAGTCACAAGTCATAATTAAATGTTTAATTCATAATAAATTCGAAATAATTTCGAAAAAACGTAGAAAAATAATAATAAAATGAATAAATATTTATAAAAATTGATTTTTTTAAATTAATAAAAAATAGTAAAACTCTATAAAAAATTAAAAACAATATGGACGCCTTTCCCACCTCTTGTACGGCCTCCCTGCACCACCACCTCCGATCGGTGTAAAAATATGCCATTTTTTTCTTCTGAAAATGCCGAAAAATGACATATTACTCTTTCAGAATGCCAACATTTTCATTGTTTCTGCCATAAATATTGCATTCCTAATGCAAGTGGCATTTTCCCCCTATAACCGGAGGTGGTGGTACTGCCTCCCTGCACCACCACCCCCGACCGAAGTAAAAAATGTCATTTTTTCTAAAAACTGCCATTTTTTTTTTCTAAAAATGCCAAAAAATGGCATATTGGTTTTTGCGAATGCCAACATTTTCATTGTTTCTGCCATAAATCTGACATTCGTAATGAATGTGGCATTTTCCGCCCTAGTTCCTAGAGGTGGTGGTGCTGGGGCGGCAGAGGCGGCGGTGTTTTTTTTGCGTTTTTATTTTTTAATTTTTTTTTTAAATTTAATTTTTTAAATTATTAGTGTTTAAATATTTTTATTATTTTTTAGTATTTTTACGAATTTTATTACTCCCTCTGTTCTTTAATATTAGTCTCTTTGACTTTGGCACGGGTTATAAGAGGAAAATAATAGAGGTAGTGTAAAAAGTGTGATGAGTAGTGGGTAAATGAAAAAGTAAGAAAGAGAAATGGGTAATGGTAATAAAATTGGAGGTATAAAGGTATATATTGATTGTAAAAGCTTTCCTTAAATGGAAAGGAAGACAAATAAAAAAACAACCCCAAATAGAGTGGAGGACTAATAATAAAGAACGAATGGAGTATTTTATATTATTTTATTATGAATTAAAACATTTCAATAGCTGTAAGGGTATATTTGTCCATGTCACACATAATTAGTCCTATGAAAACATAATTTATTTTTTTGACATATTTGTGCAAAGTGACTTACTTTTAGTCATTTTTTTGTCATAATTAACTCTTTAAAATATTGAAGGAGTATATTACATGCTAGTCCATGATGCCTAGAAACTAAAAAGTACATGGTATTAAAGCAGTACATTTTGGGGGTGTTTAGAACTGATTATGTTTCTGCTTCTTTTTTAAAGTAGAAGCAGAATCAGAATCAGTTTTCAGAAGTCGCCCCCCCCCCAACTTCTAAAAAAACTGATTCTATGAGTGAATTAGAGCATCAGAATCACTTCTGCACTTTCGTCTAAACACTCCAACTTTTGCACCTTGAAGGAACAAAAGCAGTTTTGAGAATCAGATCCAAACACCCCTAAACTTCACCTTTATATTACATGAAATCATATTACACCATATTTTATCATACTAGAAACACTGAGTATTGAGATTATGCGATTTATGAATTTATCTATATCGTGGGAGCGGTGCAGAGTGAGCATCCTGCTTTCACAATTATATGAGATGTAAATTGTGTGAATCAAAATGTAACTTCAAATAATCAAAATGTAAATTACGTTCATTCAAATGTATCTCATTTAAATGTAAACTGTTTTAACTCAAATGTAACTTGGAAACAAGTTAAATGTAATTTGTGACATGTAATTTTAGCTTATTCAAATGTAACTTGGAAACAAGTAGATGTTACATGTAATTTGTGTAATCAACATCCAGCAGAATGGAAAAAACTCAGATTAATATTAATTTGAATAATACGCAGCCCTATCGATGTTAAATCAAATCAAAAGAAATTGCTTTCCATTTTAAAGGGTTATGCATAAATCTTCCTGGAACAACATATTCATTCATCTTCTCCCTTCCTTGAGAGGTTGAAATCAAAATTCTTTCATTAACAAAGAAAGAAGAAAGGAGGAGGGAGTGGAGGAAGAGAAGGAGAAGAAAAGAAGAAGAAAGATTACCTTCCGCCCGTCGATCCTCTAGCACCTGCGATCGATAGATGCTCTTGTATTAGTCAACAAAGTGACACTGTTTAGGATCGAGCACACCGTGAGCATGGTTGACCAATCCCACACTATAATTTGTAATTCCTACAAGAGTCATGCATGTGCACATTATAGCAAAGGACTTCTTAAAGCATACTCTTTCTTCATTTTTTCCCATTAGAGCATCTCCAATGGTATAATGTGCACGGTGCACACGTGGCATGAGAGATGACCACATAAATATTAGTAAATAAATTCTTTCTCTCTTTATTTTAATGATTTTATACAGATTTAGTAAGTTTTTCTCCACAATGTCAAGGAGACCGTCTAAATGTTGACATTGCAGTTGACATTGCAGGGAAAAACTTACCAAAATTGTATAAAATCATTCAAATAAGGAGAGAAATAATTTATTTGCTCATATTTATGTGGCTATCACTCATGCCACATGTGCACCGTACACATTTTAGCATTGGAGATGCTCTTAGTTCAGATTACTCATTCAAGATGCTGTTTTTAATGTCTTTCCTAATCTTAATCGTGTGAAACGATTATAAGTCTTAATATTACCTTATAAATATGTATACCTCTAATAAAGATCATAGATAACATATTAACATATTTGTTTTCCATAGAATGAGTTGCGGTTCTATTTACCGGACATAAGAGCCACTATTTGGACTAGCGACGGCTTTCCTTAACCGTGATTAATTCCAATAGTATTTTGGAAATTATTTTTAAATAAATAATATTTTGGGTATTATTTATTTAATCAACATTAAAAAAGTTAATTCAAAGAATTGAATTAAAAAAAGTATACACATACGAAAATGTTTGGAAAATTGTTCTCAGGTATTTTTCCGGAAATTTGTTAATTTGATCGATTGAAGGAGAGGTTTGAGGTTAGCCAAGGAGTAACCTGAAGACAGCTCAGAAGCAATAGTTTGATTCGCCGGCAATGGAGTTCCCGGAGCCGCCGGAGTGCCCCGTATGTCTACAACCGTACGAATCCACGTCAACGATCCCGCGTGTACTAGCGTGCGGCCACTCTGCTTGCGAGGCCTGTATAGGGCGTCTCCCGAACGCCTTCCCTGACACCATCAGATGTCCAGCCTGCACTCAGCTTGTGAAGTTACCCAAACCCCTCTCCTCTCTACCGAAGAACATCGACCTCCTCCGCTTCTCCTCCCTCCTCCTGAACGAAGACCCTCCGCTACAACCCAAAACCGCAAAATCACTGCAAGAACCCAAAAGTGACTCGTCAATTTTCAGCGCAGCTGTGTGGCCTCGTGAATTCTACTTATACTGGTCATCTTGGATTCTCCCAGAAAACAGCGTGTCCACTGAACCACGAAATTCCGGGTCTAATTTCCCTGATGATTTTTGTTATTTGTTGCATGGGTGTTTGACGAAATGCCTGAGGAATCACGATGGTATGAGCAGTGAGAATCCTGAAGAGAAAGAGGAAGTATGTCTTCTTAAGCTTGGGATCTCCATTCACAAAGGTGAGAGCTTTTATAAGTTCAAATATAGTTATGAAGTGAAAGTTCTGAGAGCTTTATATGAAATGGCCTATAGGGAAAGAAACGAATTAGACTTGATTCTTCATGCAAACTCCAGGCATCATGGAGTGTGTAAAGTTTATGGTTTTTGGTATTGTGAAGATGACAATTCTGTGTATTTAGTTTGCCAGAAGTTTGAGACGAATGTTAGTATGTTCACAGACTTGATTTCTGATAAAAAAGGATGCATTAAAAGTTGGGCAATGGTTGGGCTAGACATTTGTGAAGCTGTGAATAATTTGCATTTGCAAGGAGTAAGCATTGGCTGTTTCGGAGCATCTTGTTTTGGTATGGATGAGTTTGGCCACACTCATGTTGATATATGTGAGACTTTGGTAACTATAAGGAGACTTAGAAAGATGGTTATGTGTTATGAAAATCTTGCTGTAGGATTGGAAAATGAAAATTTGACAGAATGTTCTTTTGTTAGTCCAGAGGCTATGTTTGGGTTATTGAAAACTGAAGGAGTTCAAATTGATTATGCGGTGGATGTTTGGTCTTTAGCTTCACTGTTGCTTTGGATTCTTATAGGGGAACCTTTTGCTCAAGAGATGAGGGTTTATTTGCGGTATATAATTGAATGTGATGAAATGCATTGTGATTTTTTTGGATGGTATACAGAGTGGATGGAGAGGATTGTTTGTTTATTTGAATGTCAATTGAAACCTGAATTTATACCTTTATCGGATATTTTCTGTAAGTGTTTGGATTTCAATCCTGAATACCGCTCACCCGTGATTGAACTATGGAAAAGCTTGAGAGAAGTGATGGTCAAACCAGATATTGATGTTTTAACTAACTTAAAACAGGTAAAGAACAAGCATAGTATTCCTCTTTGCCTGCTTTTCGGAGAGCTCTGTCTATCAAAATGCCTATCAATCTGCAGGGCCAACAAACAATCTTCTGATGGAATAGATGATGAGGAAGATGAAATCTTGAAGGTTGGTAAGGATGTTGTTGACAGCATACTTGATGGCCAGATCAAATGTATTGATCTGATAGGACATCGTGATTGTATAACATGCTTTGCTATTGGAGGTACTTATCTTGTTTGTCATATACTAGTCTACTTTCTGTTAATGCAGTTTCTCATTATGGATATCTGTCTCTCTTATTTTATTCATGTTGAAAGGTCCTTGCACTCTGTAGAATGTTTGATTGCAGAAAATTACTTTTTTGTTCCTCCCAATGAAAATGTAATCTGAAATTATCGATCTCTCATTTGTATGTTTCAGGGGGTTTCCTTTTCAGCTCATCCTTTGATAAAGTGGTCAATGTGTGGTCTTTGCAGGTATACCGTTCAAACTTATGAGTTGTTTGGAATTTTGGAGTAGTGTTCACACTGATATAAGTCACATATGGCCACAAATGGTGCAAATTTTAGAACTTTTAGAAATAATTACCCAAGTGAGAATAACGAGCTTTATTCCTAAAACAATGTCTACTTGGTCCTTGATAAAGAAGAATAACTTGTTTTTATTCCTCAAGTAATATCTATTTAGTCATACAAGTATTAGTAGTCATATTTGGGGAAACCTATCATTTTAGTCGTAGTCATAGAGATTTCTCAACATTTTTGGCAAACAAAATCTATAGGATTCAAAATGTTTACTTGAATTGAGTACTGCATGTGAATTTTCAAAGCTATAACTTTTCTTATAGTTTGAAGCCTGAGTTTTTTCTATTCCCATTTTAGTTAAAAAATTGAACATTCACTGATGGGTTTTCGCTTTACTATGTTGTATGATAATAATTTATTGTCTGGCAGGATTACTCTCATGTACATGCATTTAAAGGGCATGAGCAAAGAGTTACTGCTGTCATATTTGTGGATGATGAACAACCTATGTGCATTAGTGGTGACAATGGGGGTGCCATATGTATTTGGGTTGCCACTGTTCCACTGGGACAAGAACCAATAATTAAATTATATGAGCAAAAGGATTGGCGGTATAGTGGTATTCATGCCCTTGCTGTATCAGGAAACAACCATCTATACACCGGCAGTGGAGACAAGTCAATAAAAGCTTGGTCACTGCAGGCAGTACTCTATTATCCTTTTAATCTGCTTAAATTTAACAGATGCAGAACGAGTGTGTTTGGATAGCTGAAAAGTACTGGATTATTTCAGTAGTCAATTCTAATGTTTTAATGGATCATAGTAAGATTTGGTTTTAGTTTTGTTTGCATGGAACCAAATGTTACTTTTTACAAGGTAGATTCAGTATGAAAAATTGAAAACAACTGAAATGAAAAATAAGCTGTTGAAACATAATCATAAGCTATAAATTTCCAACTTGAAACAACTGAAAACTTAATAAGGTGATCTGTAAAAATGGAGTGTTCCCATATGTGATTAAATAAATAAAAAACCTGAAATTTCCATTTTTAAAAACTGAAACTGTAGGTTCCCCAACAAGCTTTTACTGTGACATTTTTTTGCTATGCTTTCTTCTAATTAATTCCAGGCCACCATCTTCAGGATTACACATTATCATGCACAATGACAGGTCATAAGTCAGTTGTTTCTTCACTGGTAATTTGCAAAGAAGTCCTTTACAGTGGAAGTTGGGATGGAACTGTGCGATTATGGTGTCTTAGTGATCACAGTCTGTTGGCAGTGCTTGGGGAAAATATGCCTTCAAACTTGAATTCGGTGCTATCTGTTGCTGCTGATGAGGATTCACTTGTTGTAGCTCACGAGAATGGCATTGTTGAGGTAAATCCAAAATGAGATGATTCTCTGGATATACTTAGACTCCATTTGGAAGCCAAAACTGGATTATTCTGCTTATCAGCAGCAGACAGAATATGCAGCTTTTGACTTGCTTATGTTGCTGAAATGGATTTTACCAATCTTCTTCATCTTTTTCCATAAAACATAGCAGATTCAACCTTAGTACCTACTACCAACAATCCTTATCAAATGGGGTCTTAGTTCAGTTTTGATCATTCTCATTTATCTGCAATTTATTACGTCCTCCATCCCAAAAAAACAAGCTTACTTTCACGATATGTATTGCGTTTTTTTCAAAATAAACGTTTCAAAGAAGTCAAGTATGTTAGATTTAATTTAGCAGACAAATAAAATTAAAACGTGAACCTTGGTGAAACATGGCATTTTTTGTGACGGATGTAATAATACAAGAGTTACCAAGAAAGGGAACTATTCCAGCACACGCGTGATTCTGAATTCGTGCATTGTCATTTTCTGGTAAAGCTCTTACATAATAATCATCTGATTGGTCAGATCTGGTGTAATGATACGCTACTGAAATCTACACAAGCGCACAATGGCGCTGTATTCTGTGCCTGCAAGAAGGGGCGATGGATCTTCACTGGTGGGTGGGACAAGGTTGTAAATGTACAGGTAAATGCCACAAACATATCGCTAATGAGTCTATCACAATTTGCAGCTACGAGGATGTAAAAGACAAGAGTAAGAAAAAATGACACCTAATTGTGTTCATAATAAATGTAAATTTAGAATTATTGAAAATATAAAATTTATTCTGCTGTAAATCTAAATATGACTATTCCGATCCCACTCCTTGAATAGATCTTACTCCCTCTGTCGCAATATTTCCCAATTTTTCTTCGCACGATTTTTAAATATGTGGAAACTGTGGTTGAGATGTGCTTACAGGAGAGAAACAATATCAAGTTATCAACCACAAAGTCATTTCCTTAGAAGAAAAGATGAGACAAGTTAGGGCTGCACATAAAATAAAGAACAACATTTTTTGGGACATATGGCTGAGGGAGTATTTGCTTTGCAATGCTTGATTTCTTGCTGTGATTTAGACTTTACACCAGGAAATGAATTGCTATTCAGTTTATTTAGTTAATGGATATTACATGATCTCTACTGACTTTCTAGGAACTATGCGGGAAAGATACTCAGATAGATGCCACTGCGTTTGGATCAATTTCTTGTGATTCTGTGGTAACTGCCCTTCTATACTGGCAAGGCAAGCTTTTCATTGGACAAGCTGATAGAGTAATCAAGGTACTATAGATCTATTTTGTGGAATAGAGAAGCTATTTTAGAGTTCAAATCTTCCATACTGCTTTCTCAGTCAAATCGGTGTGCCACTTTCAATGTTTGAGTCTGACTGTGGTGGACCCAGTCCCATTTCTGACCGGCTGGTCCTGGGTCACATAATAGGGAGAACTGGACTATTGCGGTTCTGGTCCAGGTTTAGTTCTTTAGGCTATTTTTAAACACAGGATCTCGAATGGTCCAGCCCTGTTTCAGGGGAACCAATTTCTGGTTCCTGACTGGTTTCCGTGGAAAACCAAAGCAGTTTTGGAACCGGGGCTGGGTCCACCCTTAGTTCAGACTGATGATAAGAGTCCCGGCTTTTTAGTTTTTAGTTTTTTACGGACTGTTTCCGTTTTTTTCAGGTATACTACTCTACGGAGCAGTAATTTCTTGGAAGAACGTTCAAATGCAAAAAGTGTACATTATAGTGTTACAAACCAACAATACATTTCAAAACAATGTGGAAAGAAAGAACTGTATAGAGACCCCTAGTGAGAAAAGGGGAGCACGTGGGTACATACATGGGAAGAGTTATTTGATTATGGCTATACATTGCCTATAGTGACGAGAAGGTAGTTTTCATATTCAGCAATATGCGGTGCAAAATTTTTACATGAGCTTCTTTCTTCAAAATGCTTCCACATGCCAAATGACTTCAGAAATATTTTCCTGATGAAAAATGCCCTATAATATCCCTTTCCTTTTGTTGTTTCTTTCTTCAAAATGTAACTGCTCATTCTCCTTAAGCTTTTGTTAGCCTTAAGCTTTTGTATCCTTTCCTTTGGTGGCTGCTAAAGTGTAGATGATTTCTATGACATTTAATATCATTTTTTTGTTAGCCCACTTTCTGATGATGTTCAATCCCCATTTTTTCCATTTTCATGCTATTTTTTTCCTTTTTCCCGATTCCCTTTTCAATCTTATTCTTTTTAAAAGATGGGTTTTCACAATAAGGTCGTTAAAACTAATGGTGCATTTGTCATTTCATTTTTCTTCTTTTCATTTTTCTTCTTTTCATTTATTTGCTTTTTACAAATCAACTTTTTCCGCCTTATTAAGAGATTTATTTCTAATGAGTGACCGACCGTAAGTGATGATGGGCTCACCAACTTTTCTTCTTCTTCCCGTTGGCTTTCTGGTTTCCCCTTCCCTTCTTGCCTTATCCCCTCTATTAGAAGAGTTTTTTTACAATGAACTCACCAAATTTAATGAGATAAAAAAGGAAAAAGAAAAAACTAAAACTGCCAGCAAAAGAAAACTATAAACAAAATCAGCGAGTGCATCATTAATTTCGAAAATACTATTAGAAAAAAGTTTCTTCTAATAGGACGGGAGAAGGACAAAGGGGGGAGGAAAAACAAAGAATGACAACTAGAGGGAAGAAGAAAAACCGAGTCAACTATTCATTCTAGCAATTGCATGTTTCATGTATCGATTCATGTGAGCCGACTCTAAAATCTTTTGAAATTAAGGATTGAATGTTGTTACTATTGTTGTTTCAATCAGTAAAAGTTAATTGTTATTTAAAAGCTAAAAGAAGTATCTTTTCATTTCTTTGTACCAAACATACACTAATCTAAAGGCGTTCAATCAAAATAATGGTGCAATTAATAATTCAATGCTCATATATTGAAAATTATTCTCTCCATCTAGAAATGAAGTTTTTCATTTCCTTCTTTATCTATCCCAAAAGGTTTTCATTTCCTTACATGGCAAATAATAATTAATACAATGTCTAGAAAATCCTTCCCATTTACCCCCTATTAACTCAATCCTTCCCATTTGTCCTAGTCGGGTAAGTATACCCATCCCTTCTCCACTTTGACACCGCACTTGCCTTCTCTCTTTAAGGTTGTTCTCCTTCTTCTTCTCCGTATGCATGTATTTCTTGACATATTCCCCGCTTTTGCAGATAAAGTGATCTTGTTTCTGTCTCATCTTCAAATTCAGACTTGAATCGGTCATTCGGTCCCCCCTTTCATCTTACACCCAAATCCTTCAAACCCGAGCCCCCCAACTTGGAGAAGGATTATTTGGTCTCATAATCCAAACATTCTCTCGTGACAGGCAATGACGATGATGAAGAATCTGATCTAGGTTGGTGGCTTTGAAAGATGTATGGGTCCCAGACTCCCAGTGTGCATTACACTGTGTAGGGCTCTGTCATATTTCATATGCCTCATTGCCTTCATTTGTTTGTGTTGCAGCCTGCAGGTACCCCCGAAGTAGCAGCTGCAGTGGCATTTGGGGAAGGTGTAGCAGGTTGATTTGGTAGAGAGAGAGCCAAAGTCGTATTCATGGGATAGGAAATGATTTAGTTGAGATAAATGTAGGCGTTTAAGTGTAAAAATTTGGGGGAACTTTAAATTTTCGTGCTTTAGTGCATTGTAATTAGCAAGAATCCTACAAAAATTTTGGAGGGAATTTATACTTGTAATTGTATGACTGGACGAGCACTATAGAATCATCACTTCAATTGTCATTTGTGTCGTTTTTACTCTTTTATTAGTCTATTTATACTTCTATGCTATGTTGCACGGAAATGCGAAAATCATGAGGAAACGGGAAACGTCAACTTTTGTTCAAAAATGCTTATTTTGAGAGTTTCCAGTAGGGGTGGACCGGTTCCGGTTTGGGCCCGGTTCGGGCCTGGGCCCGGCCGGGCCTCGGTTCAGGAATGGGAGGCCCGGAACCGGCCCGGGCCGGGCCGGGCCTCGGTTCTATTTTTTTTTGGCTTTTCCTAATTAACCCCCAACCCTCCCCCCTCACCCTCCCCCCTCACCCCCAAACCACCCCAAACCACCTCAAATGGCCCAAAATACCCAGCCCAACCCAAAAACTTAAAAAAAATTCAAAAAAAAAAATTAATTTGGCCCGAACCGGCCGTGCCGGTTCACCAATCCTAGGGCCCGAGCCTGAACCGCATTCCTACCGGGCCGGGCCGACCCGAACCGCCCCCCGGACCGGTTCCCGGGCCGGGCCGGTTCAAACAGTAACTGGGCCGGGCCGGTTCCGGCCCGGGCCGCCCGGCCCGAGTCCATCCCTAGTTTCCGGAGAGTTTCTGTAGAGTTTCCGAAACAGAAACGCACTCTTTCTCGAGAGATTCCGACTTTCTGTGCTAAATACCTTCTATGTTTGAGCCCATTTCCCTTGCTTTTCTTATTTGTGTAAGCACGTGATTAGGGCACTTTGGGCTCCAAGTACTTGAAGCACAATTTCACTTGCTATCGGTCATCTTGTGATTAAACTTTAGTCTAAATTCATCAGTTAAGGTGTCTGATTGATGTTGGAAGGTCCTTAAGGAAGTATGTGTGTGTCATAATTTTTTATTACTATGGTACTTTGGGAAACTCAACATCACATTCACTGTTACATAGTTATGTGTGAATGTCAAATAGAACGTCTTTTTGACGAGGAGAAAATATTATGGTGTTTTCATTACTTGAATTGGTTTTAGTCCTAGATTAAATTTAAACAAATCAGTCAAGCCTTGACTTTGAAAATCGTAAATACACATACATCAGACATCTTGAAATCAATTTAGACTAGACCACTTTAGAGTGAATCAAACTTAAACAGATCAGATCATACGAAAATAAAATATAAACCATGCCATATTAAAAACAATGAAAATAAAAAATGAGTATAATAGTGGTACAAAAATCATTTTTGTTTTTGGAATTCCAAATTCTATTTACATTAATTTTTCATTTAAAAATTAGTCTCGTACTCATCAAAAACATCCCTCAACAATCAAAGCTTGCTTAACTCAAACCCCTGCGCCCCGCTCCCGCCCTGCAGCATTCTCAATTCAGTCCATATAAATTCGCAAAATACAAAAAGTATAGGCAGCCTTTTCAGCCTGTTGCAAGTTCAAAGGAATTGTATTGTTCTCCGGAGAACACAGCTGGCCGGCAGAACCAATGGGAACGCCAGCCGCCGCCGCAACCGCCACCACCACATATGCTCTTATACATAAACAACGCCGGCACCACGACCGCCGAAGCCACACTTCTCACCATACAACTCTACTCTTCACTGAGCGCATCGATTTCCCTCTACTCGCTTTTCGGCCGGTCTCTCATTGCCAACACGTTAGACGCCGTCGTTCCATTCCCTCACACTTACCTGTGGCAGCTTCCCTGAAGGTCCACTCCCTTGTAAACTCAGAAATATTCCTGCTGAAAACGAATTCTGATTCTTGCTCATTTTACAGGAGAACATTAACGGGTTGAAAACAACGTTGAGTAATTTCACGTCTTTGAACCACTGGGTCGTGAGAGACTATGACAGGCTCGTCAGTTTAGTTAATGCTTTTGAACCCCAAATTCAGGAACTTTCCGATGATCAGGTAGATAATAGATAATATCCATGCCTGTGTTTGCCTATATATGATCAACGTTTTGCTATTCGAAATTAAATTTGGCGTTGGTTTAGCTGAGCGCAAAAACAGTGGAGTTTCGCAAACGATTGAGAGAAGGAGAGTCCTTGTCCCATATTCAAGCAGGTAGTATTTGATATTTTTATTTTAATTATTGATAATTTCATATTATAATTTGTTATTGAAACTAATACTCCAGCAGTCCCCGCTTAAACTTCTCACTTGTCTCTTTTGGACTTTCCAACTAAAGCTTTCCATTTGTATGTGAGGAAACAATTAACACTCTTTTTTTTGGTGATATTGGACTTTGCACCCCATTTTCAAAACTTTTAGACTTTGCACCCTATTTCCTCTAAAATGTCTTTGCCTTTGCACCCCATTTAAGAAATTTTCTTCACAAAATGTTGTAGATAGGGTGCAAAGTCTAAATGTTTTGAAAATGGGGTGCAAAGTCCAATATCACCCAAAAAGTGGGGTGCAAACTCAAAATTCCCCATTCATTATCATTTTTTTTTAAAAATAATAGACATATGACATCACAATGGTCATCAATGACATCATTATGTCACATTTTCATCAAAATTATTTCTCAAAATGTATGTGAGTTACCTTATCTAATTATTGTGTAAATAAATGTGTCATTTTTCAACAAGAAGCTTAAGCCGGGACGGATTTAGTAAATTTTTTGATCTAAATTCTGGCTTCGTATTCTGTTTTTTTTCCTGTTCATAAACAATGTCTGCTAGAGGCATTTGCTGTTGTTCGTGAAGCTGCAAAAAGAAAGCTGGGAATGCGCCACTTTGATGTCCAGGTCTCTCTTTTAGAACATAATAATAATAATAATCACACATGCTTAATTTACTTACTAAATTATTGATAGACCGTAGTGCTTAGTTTACTTTTGTTCTCCAATAATGTACTAGGAGGTAAACTATACATTGGGGGGGAAATTCCATTGAAATATTTTAGTAAGAGATTTTTTAATTGGAATTTGGTTGAAACTTATCTAAAAAAGAGTTTTTGCTAACAAACAGGAGCACCACTGATAAAAAGAAACTAAAGCAGCAATTTCTTGTACAGTTTTACAACAAAGTTTATCAGTTTTCAATTCATATACGCTAGACAGGATTGACAAGAAGCATAGGAGAGTTTTGAGAAATAGTGCTAATAAGACAACACTTCAAGCTTGGGGATCGCGCAGTACCTGAGAGTGGGTTGGAGGGAGGCCTGGGAGGGTACTATGCGTTGCTCATATCAGGATTGGGAAATGAAAAATTCAGATTGTTTTTAGGGGAAGATGTGATATTGTGCACTTGCTGCATGTGTGGTTTTCATCTTTTGGTTTGTTAGACATCCACAAACAGGAGAACTTTTTTGCTCCAATCCATGTCCATATGTAATGCATGTTTACATTCTTTTATGTAAGTTGGTAGTAAATTATTGATGCTTTATCATATTTCATGTGCTTCCATGGATAAATTTAAATTGGTTTTTGTTAATCCTTTTGTATGGAATTTCAATGGTATTTTTCTATTTTTTACAAGGCTTGATTTTTGTTCAAAATTTTATATAGGGAAAACTGTCAAATAGGTCCTCGAACTTTCATAAAAAAGTCAATTAAGTCCTTCTATAGGAGACTCTGTCCGGTCGTCGCGATTTGGGGCGGTTTCCGGTGGAATTTTTTGATGAAAGTTTTTGAGCATCTTATTCATCAAGTCTAGTTTACTCATACCAAATTTCAGCTAAAAATTTAATCGGGAGCGCATTCAAATTAATTTGAGAACACAAAAATGCGCAGTTATCTTCAAGAATTGATTTGAATGTGTTCCCGATTGAATTTTTAACTGAAATTTGGTATGAGTAAATTAGACTTGGTGAATAAGATGCTCAAAAAAATTCATCAAAAAAATCCACCGGGAACTACCCCAAATCGCGACGGCCGGACAGAATCTCCTATAGAAGGACTTAATTGACCTTTTTATGAAAGTTCGAGGACCTATTTGACAGTTTTCCCTTTTATATATAATTATTATTTCTTAATTTCAAATGTAGATTATTGGTGGAGCTGTGCTTCATGATGGAGCTATTGCAGAGATGAAAACTGGTGAAGGGAAGACATTAGTGTCCACATTAGCAGCATATCTCAATGCCTTGACTGGGGAGGGTGTTCATGGTCATTCTTTATCCGTTACTTCATATGCATAATGCTTTGACAATCATTCATGATTTGATTTGTCCTCCGGGGGGAGGGGATTTGAATGGATTTCAAAAAATCATCTCAGCTTGGTCCTCGGTGATTATATTGTTTTGGGTTTATTACCCCGTGGTCAAGAAGCCCCCATTCTTAATTACCACCTAGCACACCAACTTTCTTTTTTTTACTGAGGGAACTTTAGTATCATTGGGAGATATATTGTGCTTCTTGGGCCTCACCAACTTTTTGTTTTAATTCCTCTTTGACAGTTGTCACAGTTAATGATTACCTAGCACAACGTGATGCTGAATGGATGGGACGGGTTCATCGTTTCCTTGGTCTTTCTGTCGGCCTTATTCGTGTAATCTTTTTTGCTCTAGACTCCAGAGACACTTCATTTGGTCTCAAACAAAATTTTGGGAACTGCTTTTTTTTAGAAAGGGTTGCTTTATGGCGTTGTGTGTATTGTGGCCGTTTAACATTAAAAATTAAATAACATATATCAATTAGTATGTGTCAATATATTTCTTTTCTATGCTTTTGTTGAGAATAGTTAATCTGTTAATCCATGTAGAGTTTAAATCTACAAGACCCATATTGAATGTCAATCTGCGAGTAGCTTTAACTAAAATCAACTATTTTTTTCTAATAAATTTTAAATGATGTGCTCCTTACCTATCTTATGTATAGAAAGGGATGTCAGCTCAAGAGAGGAGATTGAATTATGGATGTGATGTAACATACACTAACAATTCAGTAAGTGGTATTAAGTTTCATTTTCATACCTCCAAATATACATTCTTTCACATCTTATTTCTGGCATGCAATTTAAACTTTTCTTAGCTTGTTTTGATACATCATAACTAATAATCATTTCAGTGAATTGACGTTGTAACTAACTAGTCTATTTTGTCATTCCCTCTTTTCTCTGTCATTTCCCAGGAACTTGGTTTTGATTATTTACGAGATAACCTTGCTAATAACCGTGAACAACTTGTGATGAAATGGTAAACTATACTGCAACCAATATCTGAAAATTATAGTTCATTGTTAAAGTTTACCTTGTGAAAACAGGCCAAAACCTTTCCATTTTGCAATAGTAGATGAAGTTGACTCAGTCCTCATAGATGAAGGAAGGAATCCTTTATTAATAAGTGGCGAGGTAAATTTGACTCTTTTATTTTAAACTACTGTCAAGTACCCTGATGAAAAAGGGGAAATCTAATACAGACTGTCTGATTTGTTTTATTTTTAAGAATTTTTACACACTTTTCTGATTTTTTAAATTCATGTCCTGTATATCTCAGGCAAGCAAAGATGCTGCACGATATCCTGTTGCTGCTAGAGTAGCTGATCTGCTCATGAGGGGTCTTGTGAGTCTCTATTTATCATATTTCTTTGTTCTCATATTCCAGCTATGGGAGCTCTATTTTTCCATCACTGGGGAGAAATATGAATACCTAACTGTGAAACTTAAGTTACCTGTATTGACAGCATTACAACATAGAGCTGAAGGACAACTCTGTGGAACTAACTGAAGAAGGAATTGTTCTTGCGGAGATGGCCCTGGAAACAAATGACTTGTGGGATGAGAATGATCCATGGGCAAGGTAAACCTTGGACATAATTTATTTTGTGCATTTATAAGGATTTTCTGAGATGGTGTTGTGATGCTTTCGAAAGAACATCTTCTGTTGCTCCACTTGATCTCTGTAAAACTATAACTATATTAGCCCAACTTTTATTGCAAACTAAAGCTTGTTCAATTAATAAAATCCAAATTGCAGATTTGTAATGAATGCCTTAAAAGCCAAGGAGTTCTATAAGCGAGATGTCCAATACATTGTCAGAAATGGGAAAGCTTTAATTATAAATGAGGTACTATTGGCAGACGTATACGTCAAAATTGTTTTGAAGATTTCTCTCAGTTATTGATTTGGTATTATTGAGTTTTCACTCCATATTGTGTAATTTCATCAACTCTGAAACATAAAAATATGAGTATGTGATGAAGGCTGAAGCTTTTGTATTACTTTTTCCTATTTTATCCTTCAATGAGACTTCTTTGCACAGTTTATAATTTTATTTTCATTATTTTCTTACCAGTTGACCGGACGAGTTGAAGAGAAAAGGCGGTGGTCAGATGGGATTCATCAGGCTGTGGAGGCAAAAGAAGGTCTAAATATTGAGGTATATAATATCTAATTACTATAGCCGAGTCTTCGTTTTATTTACAACAAATCCCCCATATTATTACTGCAACTGAAGTTGTAAAACATGGTTTTCTTTGGTCAGGCTGATTCTGTTGTTGTAGCACAAATTACGTACCAATCACTATTTAAGTTATACCCGAGGCTTTCAGGAATGACTGGAACTGCGAAAACTGAGGTATAACTGTATAAGGATTTCACAGGATTCCGATGAAGCTATTTCAATCAGGGTTCTAATTCAAAGGGTACTTTAGCATGTCTGCATGTCTTTTCTGTAGGAGAAAGAATTTTTAAAAATGTTCAAAACGCCAGTGATTGAAGTGCCTACAAATTTGCCAAACATCCGAAAAGACTTGAATACACAAGCTTTTGCTGTGAGACACAACCATCTACATTTAAAATCCTTTCCATTTTTTATAAGAATGAAAGAGTGATCTGTAACTTGACTCATCCATGCTGTTTTCTTGTGGCCTTTAGACTACACGGGGAAAATGGGAATATGTTCGTGAAGAGATCGAGTACATGTTTAGACTGGGTCGTCCAGTTTTAGTTGGAACCACGAGGTAATTGTATTTCTTATACATACTACTACCTCCGCCCCCCTAATATTGGGATGGGAGAGAGTGGTGTGGTTTTTAAGAAAAGTCGAATTATGTGGTTGATAATGAGTTGATAAAGTGAGAATAAAGTAAGAATGAATTAGAGCCACACAAATGTTGCCAAATATGTATGGGACAATAATAGGGGGACATCCAAAAATGAAAAATGGGACAGTTATAGGGGGACTCATTCACACCTTTACTACATAGCCAGCCTCTTAGAGTAGTGATGCTTTGGTTTGAATGATTGGGAGATATTGAAGTCCATATGAGATAAGATGAAGGAATTTCCCAATTTGGACATATGGTACCTCCATGCGTGATATACCTACAAATTGTACTTACTTCTGAGAAGCTAGTGCTGTACATCAAAATATAAAGGAATTACACATGCATGCAACAAAGACATTACATCAACAATTTTCATACACACAACATGGAGTGTTTATGGCTTAGAGTTCTTCATCTCAAAGTATCAATATCAATGTCTTAAGGCAATGCCCCGTTGATGTGTGTGTGTGTGTTTTGGGCACCGGGGGGTCGTCTCTTTATAGGTACTGTTAAGATAGGAGTAGTAGTCAATATCTTAATATAGCACATTGTTACTTCACAATTTTCTGGTGTGAGACTTCTAGCACCCCTCCTCACGACGAGACACTTCATCTGGGTCGTATCGTCATTCATTTTTTCGTCGGTTTGTCATTGTCTTTGTCATTTTATAATTGTGTCGTCAATTTTTCATAAGGATTGATCTTTTAGGATGTAACCCCGGGTCTTAATCGTGTCATTGTATCAAAGCAAGTTCAGTTGTGATTTGACTTTTTGTTTAACACCCATGATTAAGGGTAGTTTTTTTTATTAAGGGTAGCTTGTTAAGGGTCTGTTTGACCATTTATACACCTCGATATTATTCAACCTGGTTCGGGGTGAGGGGGCGTGTTATAGTACTTGTCCCACACCGAAAAACTATAAAACAATTAAACACCATATTAAGATCTTGGGCAGTTGGGCTACTCCTATTAGGTTGATCTTTGAGGATAGAACCCTAGATTTTAACAGGTACTTAGGTTGGAGATAAAAACTAAGTTTGTTATAGATATTTGCATAGGTGATAGATGTCACTTGAGCCTTTGAGGCAGTATGATAGTACAAGTTCATTGGCAATGCACTACACGCTTCTAGTTATAGATTTGTATGTGCACTATTCATATTTTCTTTCCTTTTTTGACTCTGATGTTTTTTAATTCAAAACTCAAAATAGATCAAGTAGAGCTCTATCTTATTGTGTTTGTTGATGCAGTGTTGAGAACTCTGAATATTTGTCCACTTTACTTAAGAAAAGGAAAATTCCACACAACGTCCTCAATGCTCTGCCCAAGGTCTGTAGCAAATTCTGAGCCTTCATCTCCTTGTTTACATATCCACCCATCTCCCATGCTTAAGATTTCTAGATGTACTTGCATTTAGTATACACAATATTTTGAGGGGGAATTTGTCAACTCTTGTTTTTGTTTTTATGAGTTCGTCATTCCTATTATTTGAAGCTGCACATTTGACTCCCAGATCTTTGTTCGTATGGCCTACGGGCTCTCCCATTCTCAGTTTTTCTATCTAAACAACCGGAGACTTGAAGGCAGTATACCACAGATTATCATAGCATGATCAATTCCTCCCTGATAGCTCAACAAAATTTAGGTTTTCTATTCATGACATGCCAAAAATCTGTAGTATGTGTTTGTTTAAACTTTAGAGGAAATTAGTAGCTCTAAACCTTAAACCTTGGCATAAACTTACCAGAACACCTAGATCAAATAACATATACATTTTTTATATGCAGAATTGTGCTAATATGACCCATTTGTTGCCATCTTTTCAAATTTTGAAAACATCAAGTATTTTTTATTAGAATTACTTGCAAGTAATATAAAGTACTTCCTCCATTCTTTAATAGTTGCAACATCATGATTTTTACACTATTCACACTTTACTCTGACCACGATTTTCTACTAATATGTATATATAATCAAATTATTATGTGTAAAATGTTATTAAATTTCTATTCATGTGAATTTCCAAAATATTAACTTTTTTATAATGTTTACTAATACGTAATTAAATATAATTACAATCAAAGTTATGCGTTGGCAAACGTGGAAGTCAAACTGTTGCAACTATTAAAGAACGGAGGATTGTATATAACTTTTAATTTTGCTAATTATTAAACTTCTGTTTAATCATCATGTACCCAATTTTGTATATAATTATTTAAACGTCTGTTTAAAGAACAAGTGTTGAACAATGTGATTGCAAAAACATAAAATTTCAACACCTCAATCTGGAGCATTTTAATCACATGCTTCAAGCTTGTTAATCACAGGCCGTCTAAATGATTTAGTAAAGGCATCTTCAAAACTTCCAATTGATAATTTGAGCCGACGAATGAAGTGATACTCAACTCTGGTCCTGACCTTGCAGTAACTTTTTGTTTCTTACTTCACAAAGATTCCAAAGAAAACACAATTTCCTGAATAATTCCAATGCTGAGATTTTATCACATGGCCACTCCAACATAGACACCACTTGGTTTTCCTATCATCTCACAAATCCAAACTACACCAAATATCTGCAAAGTTGGAAAGATACTGGATATATACTGCATTTTATCTTTCCATTCTTTCAGGTCTGACTGTTATTTAATTACTATTACTTTTGCAGTATGCTGCTAGAGAGGCTGAAATTGTTGCTCAAGCAGGGAGAAAGCATGCAATCACCATTTCAACTAATATGGCAGGAAGGGGTACTGACATCATCCTAGGAGGAAATCCTAAGGCAAGTGTAGTTTGCTGGCAAATCAGTCAAAATAGTCAAGCTTTTTTAGTGACATAATGTTGTTTCTTCATGTGATTTTGGTAAGTTGCAATTATGTTTCATCGTGCTCCTAGAGTGACGTTTTTGTATATTTTATTACAAAGATGCTTGCGAAAGAAATTTTGGAAGACAACTTAATGTCTTCGCTGTCGCAAGATATTCCTCAAGCTGATATTGATGATGGAGAGATGAATCTACAAAAGGTTTTCTTGCTTACTTGTCTCATTCAATGCCATAGTTCTCTCTTATTTTCCATCTTAAACTACTATTGGTTTTCAGGTCTTATTAAGAATAAAAGTTGGACCATCATCTCTAGCTTTGTTGGCTAAGACAGCTCTGTTGGGTTTGTGTCCTTCCGCCCCAAACCAATAGTTTTTTGTATTATATTGGTTCCATGTAGTGCCATTAGTGGTTTTGGTTTATTCTTTTTAGTAACTGTTGATTTGCTTTACAGCTAAGTATGTATGCAAAAATGAGGGTAAGAAATGGCCATATGAAGAGGCGAAATCTATAATTTCTGAATCTATAGAAATGAGTCAATCCATTGAATTGGGAGAGCTGATGAAGCTTGCTGAAGATCAATCGGAAATGTACCCTCTTGGACCATCAATTGCACTTGCATTCTTATCAGTTTTACAGGATTGTGAGTCCCACTGTTTAAAAGAGGGTCTAGAAGTGAAAAGGCTTGGAGGCTTGCATGTGATTGGGACCTCTTTACACGAATCAAGAAGAATTGATAACCAGGTGAGATCTGAATCACAATTATTTAAGGAGGTTTTGTCGTTGTGAATGCTTGATATTGATTCAACCAGAGCTTTAGAATTCATTCTTACATGATTACAATAGTTCAAACCTCTTGTTTTTATACTTCCTCCATTCTTTTTTAATTGCAACAATCCACTTTTCGCGTTTGCCAACGCACAAGTTTGACCATTAACATCTTTCAGTCCTTGTTAGTAAAAAAAATTCAGATTTTAAAATTTTAAAATAAGAAGAATTTAACAATATTTTTTTTAAAAATAATTTATAATACATTAATAAATAAAATATAGTCAAAGTACAATATGTGAATAGTGTAAAAAGTTCAATGTTGCAATTAAAAGAGAACAGAAGTAGTATTACTTTTTAGATCATTACCTAGATTACTCTTCAGAATATTACAGTTACCTTTACTAATTCACTCGTTCCTGTCATTGTAAATGTATTATGTATACTTCTGTTCTCAAGCAGCGCTATTGTTAGTTAATAAATCAAAATAATCTGCATTAGTTCACTGACTTTCCAATCAAGACATGAGGTTATCTTAGGTAGATATATGACCTGCATAGTGTGAAGTTTCATACATGAGGCTATATGCTTTGTTGTATATCTTCAACTATGCTTCACTTAATTGACCAAGACGCTATGCAAGACATTCTTATAGTCTATTATAGGTAGGTTTGGCATCACAGAATGGTAGATGTGTATATATTTTCCACTTTTTCTAAATCTGCATTACTTTGCACACCATATTACCATGTCTTTTGCACCCCCTACCCACATCCACCCATATATGCACATCCTTTATAAACACCATAGTATTCTGTGATCTTAATTCTTATGTTTTTCTAAAGCTTCGAGGAAGAGCAGGAAGGCAAGGGGATCCTGGATCAACAAGATTTATGGTAAGGTGAGATTCAAAAGGATAATGCTATATTGCTGTCGACTTGCCCCAAATTCTCTACTCTTTGGGAACATTTGTTTTTTGCGTGGTACATATGAGGGGAACTTGGATTGGACCAAAGACTTCCTGTCTAGAATCATGGGATTTATGCCTGTAGATCTTTAACTAGAAGGTCTCTCTGAATTATTGGATATATGTGTTATGGTTGAAGTGGATTATTCAAACCCTTTTGATGAAAAGCTCATTTCCATTTCAGATGAGTTCATGGATATTGAAATGGGTTCTTTCTTTGACCCCTATCCTTTAAATGAAGATTTAGATTTTTGATGTTTCCATGTTCGCTATAGTTCTTAGGGTGATATGTTAAAGCTCCCATATCGATTGTAGCTTGCAGGATGAGATGTTTCAAAAGTTTAACCTTGATACTGAGTGGGCAGTGAAGCTCATATCTAGAATTACTAATGATGAAGATATTCCAATTGAAGGTGATGCAATTGTGAAACAGGTAATCTATGTCACTGAGAATGCATTTTACATTGTATCAATATGCTTGTAAGAAGTCAAAGTACATTTGCTTTTTGTGTTTGACATCATTGTACTCATTTATATGATATACGTAGTATATGGACTACTATTTCTTTTTGCATGTTCTTTCTTATTTGCTTTGCATTTGAACTACATAGCTTCTGGCCTTGCAAATCAATGCGGAGAAGTACTTCTTTGGAATAAGAAAGAGCCTCGTGGAATTTGATGAAGTTCTCGAGGTATGAATTTGATAACAGGGATCATACTTCCTTTTTCAGGAATATTGGAGCCTTATTTTCTTAGGTTTTGGTCAATTATATGATAAAAAATGAAATTCTACTTTTAAAGTGAGTAAGGGTGGAATCACCCAAATTATTTCCTTTAGGTTATAAAAGTAGCACATGCTGATAGTCCAGAGTATTATTCCTATATTCCAACTACAATCATATTAGATCTGCAAATTGGATTTTCAGGTGCAAAGGAAGCATGTTTATAATCTTCGCCAACTAATATTAACTGGTGGTTTTGACAGTTGTTCACAGAATATTCTGCAGTAAGTGCCAAGTCTTAGATTTTTTTTCCTGATCCAATTATTCAAAGTCAGAACAACTTCACTTCTATAGATTTTTCCTGTAGCAATACAGTTTACATATCATATCTTAGTGTTATGGCTTCACTCTCTCGCTCTAATATCTATGTTGCAACACACCTGGGACGTTTTTTTTTTGCTTTGTCCTTATTTCGCCTCTCCATTTTTTCCCTTCATTTTTTCCCTTCATTTTTTCCTCTCTATCTCTCCTTCAAAAAGATGTTCTATTAGCACTCCTTTTAAGATAATGCGGTAATACCTAGCCCATTTGCTGGTATAACAAAATGGCATGTATGGTTCTAGTTGCTTTCTGTAGTTATAGTGTATTATCATCTTTTTTCTTTCCTAACATCATAATGAGTTAATTTAGGTACATGCAAGCTGTGGTTGATGAAATTGTCATTAAATGTGTGGATCCTCAAAAGGTATTGAAGTCTGTCTTTGGCATATGTTATGCGCTTCACTATGCTTTGTGTTGATCTCAACTTTTGTTCTTTCCTCAACTTAATCACCCATATTGAATGAAAATTCATGTTTATAGCATCCAAGCAAGTGGTTTTTGGGTAAACTTTTGAGTGACTACACAGGCTTAGCTGGAAAAATATTGAATGGTAATCACGATTTTACAATTTGATGCAATGAGTTTCCACAAAAATATTGGCACACAAATTAATAACAAGAACTGGCAATTTGTCTAGATCATTTCTCAGGGATTACTGAGGAAGCTCTTTTGGATTCACTTCTGCGGATTGATGAAATGTATTCTGTAACTATTGATGACGTCTATTTACCAAATTTGCCTGCAATTCAAAATTCTTTTAGAGGGATTCGTGGAGAATGTGCTTCCTTGAAGCGATGGCTAGCCATATGCACAGATGACTCAATCAAGTGGGTCCTCTGTTTCTTTTTTTTTTGCTTCAACAGTTAACTTTTTGTTTATAAACCCTGATTTTCTTGGTTATACATTTGATCCCATGCTAGAGGTGGAAAGTACAAAGTGACAGTTAATTACGTCCGCAAGTACCTTGGAGACTTCCTGATTGCCTCCTATTTGAATGTCATACAAGAATCTGGTTATGATGCAGGATATGCAAATGAAATAGAGGTAAAAAAATTTCCTCATCTTACTGATAATGCTTGGACTTCCATGAGTCACATTATGCCCTTGTTCGGAAGGGTTTTGGAGGAAGAGAGAGGCTGGAGAGCAGTGTCTTTCATTATGTGCATGGATGGGGGAGTTGGGGAACTATTAATTCCTACAAAGTTATCAAACCACACTCCTCCAATCTGGGGTACTTAGAAGTGGTCTATTTTTATTAATAATTTCCTTTTAATATTTTTTTTAATATTAAAAGTGCTCAACATCGTTATTATTACAAATAGATTACAATATTTATAAATACCACTGAAATTACATTAAATTTATTATTTTTATATGTTTTTTCTAAAGAAAAGCTCCTCATGACTCCTCCCTTGAACAAAATATAACATCTTGTTTAACTCTTCCAACCCCCTCTCTGCTCCTCCCTCCGACCTCCACATATCTCCTTCCCTCTCTCCTTTGGACGAAACTAAGGGTGGGGGTCCTTTTATGCAACTTCAAATGGAAATGTGTTTTTTTGGCTTAATACAATTTTGTTCTAAATAATGCACTGATCTTCTTGTATACTCGGTTGTCCGCTGCCGTTGAAAATTTAGTTTCTTTTACACTGCAGAGGGCAGTACTTCTGAAGACTATTGATTGCTTCTGGAGAGATCATCTCGTAAACATGAACAGGCTAAGCTCATCAGTACGTAGTAACATCCTTTACTTATTTTGATTAATGATGAAATGCTTCCTTGGGGGGGGGGGGGGGATTCTAACGTTTTGTGCAAATAATATGTCCCCAATTAAGCATGAGTTTCTTAGATAAAATGTTCGTTCTTGGATTTTTTAATGTAAATAATGTTACCATCTTTCATTTGTTGAAGGTGAATGTTAGAACTTTTGGGCACAGAAACCCACTGGAAGAATACAAGATTGACGGTTGCCGCTTTTTCATTTCGATGCTCAATGCAACCAGGAGGTTAACTGTTGAGTCCCTCTTGCGCTATTGGGCATCTCCAATGGAATCCTATGAATTATATGTTTAGGGGTGTCATTCTAAAAGCTTAAATTTTCACTTTTAGACCTTACTCTACAGTTAAGATTAATTTAACACTAAAAGTTGTGCTAATACTTGGCAGAATTAAATTGTCAATGTGATCTAATAGTTAAAATTAATATTTGATGCTAATGAGCGAAAAGATGGCCGTTAAATTATATTTGGCCAACGATAGTGTGTGCCTGGATTAAAGTATCATCTATATTTGGATGAAGTGTTGAGAAGTGTTAATAATGTAAGTGTTAAGGAATGTTGAATACTTGAATATATAGAAATTGCTCCTATTTTTTTCTCTTTTTGATGTTTATGTAATATATACTGTACTACTCTTGCATATGTCCACTGTTTGAATTGATTGTTCTGACTTGATGTGGTGTGTAGGTCCTACAACTCTTTTAATGTTCTTGCGTATTTTTATTTTGTTATTCCTTGGCTTTGGTCATTTCTCTTTCATGGATCTTTAGAATTAGTCTCTTGAGTTGTCAAGAAAACGAGCATATTCCTTGATCCTAAATGCTCTTACTTAAAATAAAACTTTTATTAAGTTGATCTCACTTACTAGAGTTGTATGTCATATATAGAACTCTAATGAGATTTATATGCCGTGTCCATAAGCCAACTTTTGCATCATCTTATAAGATCTGCAAGACTGCAACCATATCATAACCATTTCTGGAAAAATTTGTACACAAAGTACAAAAAAAAAACAGCCGCCCGACCTAAACTATCATAGTACAGTACTACCCGTTCAGCTGAGATTGCCAAAATGCCAAGTATAGCATGTAATGCAACATGTGCTTGCAATACCAATAACTACTAATTAACATGACTAGGGTAAAATGCATAGATGATACTTTAATTATTGTTATTGTTGCATTTTGGGTACCTTAGATCTTAAATGAAACAAATTAGTATTATAAGTTTATAACTATTATCATCAAAAAAAAAGTTTATAACTATATGTAAATGTTTCAATGTATTGTTTATGCATTTCACTCGCATGAGTAAATAATAAACACGATATAAGACCCACAGAAAATCAATAAATACAAGTAAATAGTACAGTAAAGAATATTCTTTCAGAAAATAGCATTTCTGTACAACACTCTTGGGTATATATCCATACACCTATTTTAGTGTACAACTCTGTATGATGGGGGTCAAGAAGTGTGTAAAACATTTTTCTAAATAAAAAACTATTTCCTTCGTAGAACGTACTATACATTTTCAAAAGTGAGAATAAATCTAGTTCAATAATAGCTGAACATCGTTGTGCTCCAAGGTGATCAAATGAGAAGGCCATACTAGATTGCCAGTTATTGTGTTTTTAGAATGCTGTTAATGACACCTGAAAAGTGCAAAACATGTTACTGGAGTCTTTGATAACTGATTTTCTTAACCAAAGCCCATAAGCAACCACTCTAAGTTCTGGATTGAAAGATCTCCACCCAAAGCATACACATTCCTTGGATGCCTATGTTTTCCTAGAATAGCAAACCCATTCTTTATTGGTTAGAGGTGCAGGTGGCCAGCCTCCTTTAAAGATGTTTTGCCTGCTTCTAGAAACTTCATTGATGCCAAACTAGTTCTCAGCAATGCAACAACCAGGTGCTTCCTTAACCTTTTCACTACCAGAAGCTCAGCAGTCAGTGACTCAGTGTTATTGTGCATCTTCTGCCATTTTAGAGCAAGCTGTTCTATGAATTCTCTTGCTTTAGTTGATTACTAGCCCACTTTCCGAACTCAACATTCCTATGCTCTCCACAGAAATGGAGAATTCTCTCTAACATATGAGGAGTGAGAGAAAAAGGCATCTCCTTAATAAAACTCTCAAGCTCGTCGAAGAACCCATGCTGTCCAAACAGCTCAATCATGGATTCATAGTGCTTCAACCCAGGGATAATCCTACATTTATCACGCATCAAGTCAAAATACCGCTTACCTGAATGTACACTACCCTCACGAATGCACACAAGAAATATAGTTTGGAAAGTTACACTATCTGGCATAATTCCCTCTTCCTTCATTAACTCAAACAATTCAAAAACATAATCATTCCTCTTGTTATGATAACATCCCAGCATCAAAGAGTTCCACAATACCAAATCTTTTTGTGGTGTTACTGCAAATATATCAAGAGCATAATCAAGAAAACGACACTTCGAGTACAAGTTAACTAATGCTCCACTGATCACATTATCCATCTCATACCCATTTCTGATGATAAACCCGTGAATTTCTTTACCTGATTTCAGAGAAAAAGTATTTGCACACGAAGCCAAGAGGGTTCCAAAAGTGTATTTACTAGGTACAATCCCTCCTATCATGTTTGGGAAACTCATCAGTGTTGTTTCACCCATCCCGTGTGAATTATAGCTAGCTAATAAAGTATTCCAAGAAACTGCATCCCTCCACTGACTCATTTCATGAAACCACACTATAGTCCTTCTCAAGTTCCCACATTTACCATACATGTCAAGAAGCGCATTGGCAGCATGCAAATTGGAGTGGAATCCATTTCTGTACATGGATCCATGAACCTGTTTCCCCAATTCAATATCTGAAAGGGCTGAAGAGACGTTGAGAACCAATCCAATAGTGACATGATCAATGTCACTGGTCTGTTTGAACATCAGAAATATAAGATCTAAGGCTTCATTCCATTCTCCACTGTGCACATAGCCAGCAAGCATAGAATTCCATGAGACCACATTGTGTTCTGGCATCTTGTTGAATAGCTCCCTTGCCTCCCTTGTCCTTCCATCCATCGCATACCCAGACATTAATGATGTCCAGTGAATCAAATCTTTTGAACACAGCAGGTCAAAAATCCTCCGAGCGCTTCCAATATCCCCACATTTCCTGTACAAATCAATAAGAGAACTTGCAACCACCTTATCCGTCTCGACGTTAGTCTTGATAGAAAATCCATGAATTTGAAGCCCTCCAGAGAGCTCACCAATGGACAGGCACGCAACAAGAGCATTGGATACAGTAAATGTCAGAGGAATCGCATTTGCCCTCACCAACTCTGAGAACATAAATAGAGCATCCTTACCCGCACCAAGGTCAATATACCTTCTGATTATCACATTCCAAGAAACACTATTTGGATTCTTGATTTCATCAAACATCCTTTTAGCATCACTCATCTCTTTGCATTTCCCATACGCATCAACCAGTGAAGTTTCCAGGATTACATTTCCGGAGAAGCCAAACTTCATGATGAGAGCATGAACACGTCTTAAATTACATACATTCAAGAGGGAAGCACAAGATACTATAACACTTGCAAATGTGATCTCAGTAGCAAACACCCCTGACAGACGCATGTGGAGAAACATTTCCATTGCCCTCTGGGCATACCCATTTTGTGAATAAGCAGTAATCATTGCATTCCAGGAGCCTCCATCTCGGCGAGGCAATTCGTCAAACAACTCTTGGGCATCCTCCAAGCAGTTACACTTTCCATAAGCTTCCATAGCTCGGTTGAGCACAAAAACTGGCGGGTTCGAGGAGAAGGTGACTAAGTGGGATTCGACTTTGCGAGCCTCAACAGCTGCTTTGTTTGAGGCACAGAATCTGAAGAGGTGAGAGTAGATAGAGAAAGGAAAGGGGAATGGGGCGCCAAAGAGAACTGAGACCGCCTTTGCAAGGTCTCCAGAGCGGAGGTAGAGCGTGATTGCGGTGGTTAACGCTTTAACTTCAGCTTGTCGCGGCGGTTCAAGGCGATTAGTTGCAGCGACATTGGCGTTGAGAAGATGGTTTAGGATTGAGGCCTTCTTTGCGCCCATCCAAAATTTTGAATTACAGTTGCCCCAGGCGGCAATTCTCTACTGGTAGTTACTCCCCTCACAATAAATGTCTTGTTTGTTTAGTGGTTCAGTGGTCGGAAAGGTAAAGTTGTGATTGAGATTTGAGTAGAAAAAAGTGAATTGATAAGGGCGATATATTATTGCCAAAAGAGGAAACAAGACAATTATTTTAATACGAACCGAAAAAGAAAGCAAGATATTTATTTTGGAACAAAGGGAGCAGTTGTTAATGAATTTCTTGTAGTGAATATTAATTAAGTACGGAGTATTTACTAGTAACTTTCAAGCCGCCGGGAAGAAAAAACAATTTAATCAAGATTGAACATCTTAGAATAGTTTGATCAATGGTTAGGGTCACATATATACACACAAGTTTTTTTTACAAGACATATACACATAGTTAACTAAATATTTATATGGTCTTCCTCATTAAACAAATGATATCTTAACTTATCGATATTATTAACTCATACTCCCTATTAACTTTTGTTTAATAACATTAACTCATAAACAATAATTTTAAAGTAGCAATAATTGCTTGTATATATTAGTCCATTATTTTTATCACTTAATTTAACTTAACTACTTAAGTTCTCTCGAAAATATTATTTTCAACACATGATATGAACTCTTAGTCACAACAGCAATCACGACCTTTTCGTCCAATCGAACACTTATTAGTTTGGTTTAACCGAATCAAACTGTATCAAATTGGATTAAATCGGTTCAAAACCAAATCATATACAATTTAGTTTGAGTTTAGTAGCATTTCTTCCGAACTGTATTAAATCGAATCGAAATTGAGAAAAATTGAAGAAAATTGAAACAAACTAAAAAAATCGATAAAGGCTCCATATGTTATTAAAAATAACAAATCCAAACCTGACCGAACTAAACTAAACCGAGCCGAATCAAACCAAAAAAATAGTATGTTTTTTTTGTAATAATTCTTCTAGTCCATTCGAAACCGAATCAAAACCAATAAAAACTCAATCGAAAATCAATATGAGCACTCCTAATTATTGATTTGTGACCAACTAAATTTTCAAGTTGGAATTTGTATAGGGGTTCACCCATAATTAAGAGATCCGCGTGTAATTGTAGTGCCCAATTTGATTTATTCTAAATTTTAATGTGAAATATAACATTCGCACGTAACAATAGTATACGATTTATATTTGAATATTTCACATATTTCACATGTAATAAATGCTTTACAATTCAAATTAGTTATATTTTTTGATTTACTATATAAAAATTATCTGAATTCTTTAAACATCGAACTCCAAAATAAAAAGAAACATTTGAAATTTGACAAGTGTATAAGTCGAAAAAAATTAGTAAAAGATATTCAAAACAAGATCTATTATCCAAACCAAGTCCTACAAATGTAAACATTTTGTACCAAGTGCACTAACAATAAAATATTTCATCAAAAAAAGAGCAAAGATTCACTTAAGATTTTTTTTTTCAAACAGTCAGTAGGCATTAAATATTTATTAGGCTAGTAAATAAAAGGGAAAAATAATAAAAATACTCCAAACTTTGAAGCGGTGTGAGATGAGCACCCCAAACTATGAAGGGGTGTGAGATGAACACCTCAAACTAGCATATGTAATTTAAATATCCCAAAACATTATATAAAAAGTCATTTTAACATCATGTCAAATATTATTTCTTTCAAAAATGTAAATTTATGGTGTTAATTGCATAATTTAAATTATTTTAGAATTCATGAAGACACAATTAACATTCTAAACTTTAATTCCGAAATAATTATTGTTACACTTTTAATTTGTTATTTTTAATTATACAATTAACCCCATAAATTTATATTTTTTAAAGAAATAGTACGTGACAATGGTGCCGAAATAACTTTTTATATAAAGTTTGGGGTATTTAAATTACATATACAAGTTTGGGGTGCTTATCTCACACCCCTTCAAAGTTTGGGGTATTTTTTATTATTTTCCCCTAAATAAAACTGCAGTATTATTAGTGAAATTCGTAGAAGTTAATTTTAGATATAAATTGAAAGCTGACAAGCTGTTAACATAAAATAAAAGGAAAAAGGAAGTAGATATCTGGAACAATTCGATCAGAATGGAAGGGAAAGGAAAAATAAGAGAGAGCAGGAGCGATTTGATCCGCAAAGAGAAAAGAAAAAAGAAACAGACAGACAGCATGAACGATTTGATCAGCAAGGGGAAAAGAAAAAAATTACATCCAGGTGTATGATGTAATTTCGCATTATACACCCTTTGTAACATCATTTTATAAATTATAAACAGCTATCAGTTGCTTCGATTGTAAATTTGCAACCCCCTACACCATTCACACTAGCAACACAATTATACTAATGCAACCATATCTTTATTTTAAACCTGCCCTAACTGTAGGTTCTTACACAAGATACATGACTTCTATTTGACTCCTATTCTGGACAAGCTGTTTACATCTGTATATATCAATGAATGGTAGACTTCAATATTTCATATGCCAACAAATGTTGATACTTGATAATGAGTTTAATACATTATTTACTATGTATTACTTGCACAATTATGTATACGGGGTAATTTGCAGACAAAGGATTGCCGTTGTTTGGTGATCAGAGGGCTTTTTGGTCGAGTCTCTCATTCCAGTTTAAGCAACGGATTAAACTGTGAAACCAATCACCAGTTTGGTCGGATTTGTTGACAGTAGGGAGAGGGTGTTGGCTCATACATATCCGTACAGAGTCCCCTCGAGAGAGTTGTTGCCTTCTCTTACCGTCGAAGGAGACCCAAGCATTACTGCGTGCATCCTCAGGGATCTGTTCAAGTAGAAAAATGAAGCAATGTGTGAGCTTGAGATCCATCATAGTATCATGAATAAATAGCTACACGATCCTCTGATCATGATATATGGCCACAAACCTTTAGTTCTAGCTTTGCAGAATCTGGAAGTATAACTGGCCTGAATGAGAGAGAGTGCGGGCATATAGGTGTAAAAAGCATGCATGGAACGTTGGGATGCACCTGCATGTGTTGCACACATCGGTTTGTGTCATTTCTAAATTGAATGTACTGTAAAGATTTTCCTTTTTTGTTTAAATATGTCTTTAGTGCATGCAAATATCTCACATTTTTGTTTACATCTCTGAAAAAAAAACATCCATGCAATATGTGCTATTTTCTTTTAGTCACTATCTAACTCTCACATTTTGAAATACATGACTCCTCTCTAAACTTCTCATGTCAACCTTTTTAACTTTTTGGAGGCTATTAATGGAGTTAATACTAATCAAAACTAATCATTCACATTCTAAATATAGGCCATTTGTAACTGAAAGTTTGGCAGTTAAAAGAAAGGGAAAAGGGTCAAATAGGCCCTTGAACTTACATAAAAAGGTCAAATAAGCCCTTATAAGGCTCTGTCCGGCCGTCGCCATTTGGGGCAGTTCACAGTGGAATTTTTTGATGAATTTTTTTTAGCATCATAGTTTTAATTTGAATGCCTTCCCGATTGAAGTTTTAGCTAAAATTTGGTATGAGTAAACTAGACTTAATGAATAAGATGCTAAAAAAAATTCATCAAAAAATTCCACTGGGAACCTCCCCAAATGGCAACGGCCAGACAAAGCCTCCTATATAAGGGCTTATTTGACCTTTTTATGTAAGTTCGAGGGCCTATCTGACCCTTTTCCCTAAAAGAAATGATGTGAAAAAGAGGTGGAAATCATGTTAGTCATGTCTGTTTTATTGTTAAAAGAGTCGAGAACTAAAATGAAAACAGTGCAAATTCTAGAGATGAAAAAAACACCAACAAAAAATTCAAGAACAAAAAACCAAAAAAAAAAACACTATTTTCAAAGGCTAAAAACAGACTATAAAAGAAATTCCTAGTTTGAATGAATATCACACACTTTAAGGAAATGAGTTATTCTTTGATGTAGTTTTCAGCGCTTGACACTATACACTCAGTATTACTTGAGTGTAGCAGAGTAAATTGATAAGAAATTCTTTACTGAATAAGGTAAGAAGATGACTTTATTTCGGACGCCTCAATAAATATAGGAAGTTCTTGAAGGGATGAAGGGAGTACTTAAGTCTTTTTTTGCAGTTTAATGGCTTTTTTTACTTACCATGGAACCCCCGGCAGCTGTAGAGTAAGCTGTACTTCCTGTCGGAGTAGCAATGATCACTCCATCACCTTGCACCTGCCCACCAAATAATATTAATAATAATAATACTAATAATAACAATAATCACGAAGCTTTTTTCCTATGGCAAGTGAAAAAATAATTATCAGGAAGGTCAACTTCTTCAGCAACTCTATCTATGTCAAGCTTTACGGATTTTAAAACAGACACAAAAAATTCCATTCAAGACATCACCAATGGAAACAGAATAACGAAAATGCATAGAACAAACCTTTGTTATGAGACGATCATGTTCATAGCACTCTATCTTTGAGAGGTAGGGGTTAGAACCCCGATCAACCACAACTTCATTTAAAACATCAAACACCTTCCCTGGCATGGCTTTACCATTTCGGAATATCTCACAATGAAGTCGCATTCTAAGTGTAATGTACACTCCATCCAAAGTACTATTCCCATGGATGATTTGTCTCAGGTCCTTTTTGTAATCACCAAACTACACCATATCACCAGTCAGACAAAAAAATACATTGGGATCGCATGCATAATTTAAAACATCCATACCCACCCTGTGAGAAGTTAGAAATCCAAGAGATCCTAGATTAAACGAGACAACGGGTGGAACAGCACCTCTAAACAGATTTGATGCATGAAGTATAACCCCATCTCCTCCTAAGCAAGCAACAAGATCGACTCTCTCATGAAGACCACTACATCAGAGAATCAGCCAAATTGAGCATACACACTTTACTACTTCACTGATAACTATAAAATATTAAAATAATGATGGACATAGAAGACATTGAGACAATACATTTTCTCTTACAGTTCAAGAATATTGAGCCCACCTGCTATCCTGACTATAGAATGTCTGCACAAACCCATATCCTGGGATTCTTGCAAAAACATCATGCACCTCGGGCTCTACCAGAACATTCATTTTCTCTTGATA